TTTTAAAAAATTGGCTCGTTACTTTAGTTTTGATTCATTTCAATGGAGTTACCGTTATTATTTTTCACGTCATCAATACCAAATTCAATCTAATTGGATGGGAATCTACATTGCATTTGACGCACCACTACAAGATGAATCGACAGATTCGGCGGTATTCATTGGCGGCAAATCATTGCAGCTTGGTGGCGGTGGCGTTAGCATAGTAGCATGGACGACGAGATGATTGAAAATGAACACAACGGAGATCTAGTCCTATTGGCAGACATCCATTTAAAATGTAGGCAACGGCATGAAAAAAGTGGTTTCTACTTTTACTTTTATACTTTGAGTAAATTTACAAGCCTGTACTTTGTTACTTTTACTTGAGTAAAGAAGTTTAATCAGTACTTCCACTTTTACCAGAGTATTTTATAACACAAGTATCTGTACTTTTACTCAAGTACGGAAAGTGAGTACTTTTGCCATCTCAGCATGGGGGTGAGTAGAAAATGAAGGCTAATCATGTTTTGGGTGTACTATTCCTTTAAGAAGTAGATTAAGTTGAGCCTGCCACTACATGCCAAGTACCTCTGGAAGAACTCTGACAGGATGTAAATTTAATGATTAGTTCTTTCCTCCAGATAGTTGCGTTCTAAGTTTTATAATTTTGAGTTTCATACATTTAATGTTTTAACAACTTTAAAAAGTTTTTCTGTAGATTGGTGAAAAAAAAACTGCAACGTTGAAGGTCATTTCATACAGGTAAACATCGGACTAAAGGGGAAAAAAAAATTGAAACTTTCTACAGATGCCTTCAGGAAAAAAAAAAAAAGAATTGATGAAAACGTTCCAATTTGTGGGCCTCAAAGTAAAATATGAACCGTTATTCATATTAATCTCTTTGCTAATTCAGGTTCTGAACCTTTCTGTGTGACAGATTTAGGTTTTTAAAGGAACCTTTTCCAGATAAAGAGCCGATTACAGGTGCTGGTCATAAAATTAGAATATCATGAAAAAGTAGATTGATTTCAGTAATTCCATTTAAAAAGTGAAACTTGTATATTATATTCATACATTACATACAAACTCATATATTTCAGATGTTTATTTTGTTTAATTTTGATGATTACAAATGACAACAAATGAAAATCTCAAATTCATCATATCAGAAAATTAGAATATTACTGAAGACCAATAAAAACAAAGGATTTATAGAAATGTTGGCCAACTGAAAAGTATGAACATGAAAAGTATGAGCATGTACAGCACTCAGTATTTAGTTGGGCCTCCTTTGGCCTGTATTACTGCAGCAATGCGGCGTGGCATGGAGTCGATCAGTCTGTGGCACTGCTCAGGTGTTATGATAGCCCAGGTTGCTCTAATAGTGGCTTTTAGCTCTTCTGAATTGTTGGGTCTGGTGTATTGCATCTTCTTCTTCACAATACCCCATAGATTTTCTATGGGGTTAAGGTCAGGAGAGTTTGCTGGCCAATTAAGAACAGGGATACCATGGTCCTTCAACCAGGTACTGGTAGCTTTGGCACTGTGTGCAGGTGCCAAGTCCTGTTGGAAAATGAAATCTGCATCTCCAAAAAGTTGGTCAGCTGCAGGAAGCATGAAGTGCTCTAAAACTTCCTGGTATGTGGCTGCGTTGACCCTGGACCTCAGAAAACACAATGGACCAACACCAGCAGATGACATGGCACCCCAAACCATCACTGACTGTGGAAACTTTACACTGGACTTCAAGCAACGTGGATGAAGTGCCTCTCTTCTTTTCCTCCAGACTCTGGGACCTTGATTTCCAAAGGAAATGCAAAATTTACCTTCATCAGAGAACATGACTTTGGACCACTCACCAGCAGTCCAGTCCTGTTTCTCTTTAGCCCAGGCAAGACGCTTCTGACGCTGTCTGTGGTTCAAGAGTGGCTTGACACAAGGAATGCGACAGCAGAAACCCATGTCTTTCATACGTCTGTGTGTGGTGGTTCTTGAAGCACTCACTCCAGCTGCAGTCCACTCTTTGTGAATCTCCCCCACATTTTTGAATGGGTTTTGTTTCACAATCCTCTCCAGGGTGCGGTTATCTCTCTTGCTCGTACACTTTTTTCGACCACATCTTTTCCTTCCCTTCGCCTCTCTATTAATGTGCTTGGACACTGAGCTCTGTGAACAGCCAGCCTCTTTAGCGATGACCTTTTGTGTCTTGCCCTCCTTGTGCAAGGTGTCGATGGTCGTCTTTTGGACAACTGTCAAGTCAGCAGTCTTCCCCATGATTGTGTAGCCTATAGAACTAGACTGAAAGACCATTTAAAGGCTTTTGCAGGTGGTTTGAGTTAATTAGCTGATTAGAGTGTGGCACCAGGGGCCATCAATTTTGAACCTTTTCACAATATTCTAATTTTCTGATATGATGAATTTGAGATTTTCATTTGTTGTCATTTGTAATCATCAAAATTAAACAAAATAAACATCTGAAATATATGAGTTTGTATGTAATGTATGAATATAATATACAAGTTTCACTTTTTAAATGGAATTACTGAAATCAATCTACTTTTTCATGATATTCTAATTTTATGACCAGCACCTGTATAATTTCTGCCCCTTTAGAGTCTGATTTATGAAAAAAAAAAAACTGGTTACAAGCTTGTATAAAAATATTGACATGGAGGAAAAAAAAAAAAAAAGATCCTGAAATGATGAAAGTTTTAGGTGCCACTCATCTTTAAACGATCCCCGGTCAGACCAGCATACCCATAGTCAATACCAGTTTATCTCTTTAGTTTGGTATGAAAAATAAACTTTAAACTACCTGAACAGGTGTGTATCTCTTTAGTTATGTACAAAAAAAGGATTTAATGACTTACTTTTATGCGACCTGACCTGATTTAAGGGATAAATGTGCATCAAGGTAGATTAGTTTTTTTTTTGCACAAAACTAAACGGATAAACACAAATCTGACGTCTTGCACATGCGTATTGACTATAGGTATGGTTCCTGAAGAACCCGTCTTTAAAGCTTCACTGAGAGCCGATGTGTCCACAGTCCTGGACGCTCCTCGGTTTGTCCCCCTTCGGAGCGGGAACAGACAGGAAGTGAGAAAAGACAGCAGGACCAGGCTGGCAGGCTGATTGGGAACTGATAAAACTTTATTTCACTTTAAATCATCTTTTACAATTTGTCCCGTTTATAACATGTACGGTGAAACTAGAGCTGGATTTTTCTTTGAAAAGACAAACAAATCTTCCATGTCAGAACCAGAGTGAAGGAAGCCATTTTTTATTTGCTTTTAAACATTTTGGTGTTTTTTTTCTTGTTTTTTTTTTTATTTGTGTATTTAAAGCTAAACCTAAAAGTTTCACAACCACGTGCAGCGAAGCAAGAAGAACCGTCACAGAAGCACTTTTGTTGTTGTTTTTTTGGGTTGATTTTTGTTTTATTTTAAGCAGAATACTGGTCAGTAAAAACAAAATGATTCCAGATACCAGATATACAGACAGGCTTGGTGCCACATTCACTACTGCAGGGGATCCGATTTTTCCTTAGAAAGCCAAGAAGAAGAACTGTGTTTGTTCAGCTAAAGAAAAAAAAAAAAAAAAAGAAAAAAAGAGCAGCAGGGAGGATGAGTTTTTTTTTTTTTTGTTTAATCTTTTTCTACTTTTTAAATGTCAGTGCATGAAAATATTTATCCCCAGGAAACGAAAAGTCCCTTCTACATCTAAAGTGGAATGTCATGTTTAAGACAAGGTTATTGTGACACTGAGCGGGAAAAAGCTGCATGGATTTTAGCCGTTTCGGTGTGTCGTCGGTGGGATGTTGAGTCGAACAAAGACGGTTTTACTACGTTCAATTGGATTTTTTTATTTAGTTTTTTGGCGCAGCTCTTAACAAGCCTCGACTGATCTGCACATTTTTCTAAAAAACCATAATCCAAACTACAGGTTCTCATTTCCTCGATTGGCTGATCGGCTGTGATTTGGCTCCTTAAATGTACGGACCTGTGGGGGCTTCTGCTGCGCCGACTGAGCCGCCTTTGTTCCAGAGGAGGAGGAAAGGTTTAATCATAGCCTCCGTCTGAGCGACTAAAATAGAAGCCGAACGCTGCGGCTGCACACGAGCGTCTCTGAGCGGCAACACAAGATCTGCCTCAACCTGCCTTCCAGGGCAGAAGCCGGTGGGGGAGGGGGGGCAAAAAACAGCAGTTGACTGTAACGGCTTCAGGGGAGGGGGGGGGGGTTCTCAAAAAAAAAGAAAAAAAAAAAAAGTTTACAGCTACGCTCTAAACATGTTTTACAATTTTACAGTTTTCAGAAACAGAACGAACTGATTGGTTACAGAATCAAATACACCCAGGAAAAAAATAAAATAAAAAATCAACCAAGAAGAGCGAAAGAGGCGGTGGGCGGCAGGGAGAGGCCAGCGGGGCCTGGAGCGCCCCCCACTGGCCTCCCAGTTCAAAACAAGTGAGGAGTCAAATGGGTCCCAGTGCGGAAAAACCTAAAAACACCCAGCAGGTTGTTTATTTAGTCAGTGTCACAATACGGCCTTGAATGGAGGAGCCTTCTGTATGAACCCCAGCAGAAACACCCCCCCCCACCCCACCCCCCCATGGGTCTGGAGGACAAACGGAGCATCACAGCGTTGGTTGAAAATAAACGGACAGTTTAATAACCTTTGTTTGTTTAAAGTGGAATAAAACCAGCCATGTTTGCCAGAACACTATGAAAGCCGAACAGAGGAGGAACGGACGACTAGAGAAACGCTTTAACTAGGACAGGGGCGTGGGGGGGGGCATACTGAGCTGTTAGGAGGGAGGGAGGGGTGGGGGGGGGGGATTAACCAGGAAGGGAGAAACAGGAGAACGCAGGATGATTTGGGAGCAAACCTCGTCTGCGTGCTAGATGAGGTTTCAGACCGCCGGGGCGCGCTGGAGTGCCATGATGGAAAGGGGGGGGTGTGTGGGGGAGGGGGTGATCCCTCAGTAAGGTGGGGGTCGGGTGCTATTCATGCTGTTGGTTATACAGAACGGAGGTCGGGCTGGGAGCGATGGACGAGGTAATGAACGCCGCGTAGGTACCGAGAGAGGAAGAGGAGGAGGAGGAAGAGTGTGTGTGTGGGGGGGTTAACAGTGAAGAGCGCTCTAGTTTTCTCCATCGCCGGCTTCACCCTCGTCTCCCTGGTTTTCTGATGTCCACAGCTGCAAAGCAAAGAGCCTTTCATTAGGCGATTCACTGAAACCATCGTTCAAAAAGGGAAAATTCTCACTATTATAATTCTAAAATGATTTCATTGATTTTCATGAATAAAATCAGTTTCACAACAACCTGGAGCCCATCAGACGGACCAGGACCCTCTGCTGGACTTTAACCTGGGCCCCACCCCGCCTGTTTCTGCTGCTATACTTACAGTCAGGTTGTCCCTTAGTAGCTGCATGATCAGCGTGCTGTCTTTGTAGGAGTCCTCGTTCAAGGTGTCGAGCTCAGCGATCGCCTCATCGAAGGCCTGCGGGGAGAAGCAGGTCAGCGTTAGTCTGGGCTCCGCCTCCGTCAGAAGCCGCTTCTAAGGGCTCCCGCTGCGGCGGCAGGACTCACCTGCTTGGCCAGAGAGCAGGCCTGCTCGGGCGAGTTGAGGATTTCGTAGTAGAAGACGGAGAAGTTGAGGGCCAGGCCCAGCCGGATGGGGTGCGTGGGCTGCATGTCCTTCTTGCTGATGTCGAAGGCGTCCTGGTAGGCCTTCTGAGAGTTATCCACCGTTTCTTTAACAGAACACAGAAAGGCCAGCGGTCAAACAGCCAGAAACGTTTTAACTGAACGCCGTTAACCGCGCGCTCACACAGGAGCCATCTGTTGCTCCTGGGTCGGAAGGACGGAACATGGATCAGATTCTGCCAATCAGAGGAAGCCGTCTGAGGCGTCCAATTAACGCCGCCACACGCTAAAGACGCCATGAGCCGAAGAGGATGAATAATAAAGACTTTCTGCCACCATTTACAGGAAAACATTCAACTTTGGAAACAGGAAACGGTTCAAACTTTGAGGCTGAATTTGATCTGATCCACTTCCAAAAAATGTTTGTTTTATGGGAAAGTTTATCTAACATTTAAGAATTTTTTTCCTAATGTTTAATTTTTTTTATGCATTAATTTTGCTCTGAAAGGACCTTTTTTTGTTTAATCCAATAGAAATGGGTCTACTCTGCGTGGACCTTAGCAACAGTGTCCCCATTGGTCCGAATAGAGCGAGATATCTGAAAAGAATTTCATCCAGAAAACTTCGTCGCACACAAAAAAAGGGAGAAAATAAAACCTGAAATTTAGATTATAAACAACTGAATGTTTAAGTTTATTCTAAAAACATCTTTCTTCGAATATGAAGCATTTTCTTAATTTTGGAACAAACAACGAGCGACGTTTGGATACTAAAAACCAGAAGCAGTTTCAGCAGGAGGGCGGCGCCAGCGAGCGAGAAGGAGCCAGACCCAGAAAGCGCTTCCTGGCGGATCCTCACCCTTCTTGGAGTCCCCAGAGGCCACCTCTGACAGGTATCTGAAGTAGTCTCCTTTCATTTTGAGGTAGAACACCTTGCTCTCTGCCTGAGATGCGTTGAGGATGAGGAATTTGTCGAGAAGGTTCTGGAACAAACAGAAGAGAAACAGAAAATCAGAAGCCATCCCAGATCAGCAGAAACTAAACACTGATTAGCCATCGACACTCTTAATTCTGATTTGGGATAATCCTCGCCTATTCTCATCCCCAAATGGAAAATAACTGATCAACTGTAAGCCCAAATTACATGTGTGAACATCCTTTGAAAGCTGACACCTTCTAGTTTATAAATATAAACAAAATAATGCGACTAAAACAGCATAAACTGCATCAGTTCAAACACGACTCAAAGTTTTTTTCCTTTTTAAAAACAATAGATCTTTTATTTAACCCCATTGCTTGCGAATAGGCATTTATCATTGTGTTACATTTGTTCTACATCATGTCAACCACTAAAGCAGCACATTTCACACCTCTACCTACAACAGGTCCAGAGCTGTGGGGCTTTGAACCTTTGGTGTCAGCGGCTCCAAATTCTGCCATTTAACCCACCGAATAACACTGAAGCATTTTGATGGCCACAAAGCATACGTAGTGTGAGGGATTGCTGAAGAGTCAATGAGTCGATGCAATCAGCTGGTTTTCCTTAGATAGAAAACTTTGAATCAATCTGATGAACTGGAAAGTGCCTTGAGATGAAATATGTTGTGAATTGGAGCTATAGAAATAAACTGAATTGAATTTATATTAAAATATATAAATTTAATTTCCTTGTAATCGTCAGATTAATCGATCTAAAAAAACAATCCTTAGTTTAAACGTCTTAATATGGGATTTCTGCACATTTTAAATCTCCATGCTCAGTAGAAGTGAAGTCGCCTCCCTTCTTTGTGTGCTTGGAGGCGGTGAGGAAAAGTTAATCATGATTTACTGGTTAAAACAATCCCAGCATCGGCTGGATGGGAGAAATTAGATCATTTAAGCTCAGCTGCTTAAATTAAAGGGCGACTGATGTCATCGAGCTACAGGAGCCTGAGGAGGACATCGGAGGAACAGAAAATCCTGCTTTTCCAGAAATCAGATCCTGCCAGAGTCCAAAACTGTTCCGGTTTCTGGGGCTTTGATGCTCCAGTTAGAAAAGGAACCATCAGCTGTCTGCTAGCACGGTGAAGGCTCCTCCTCCTCCTGCTCCTCCTCCTCAGCCTCGTTCCTCTCCTCCCTCCGCTCCTGCAGCGCTGCATCCTTTGACCTTGAGGATATTATTAGCCGTCTGCTCTGAAATACTTCTGTCTTTTTTGACCTTCAGCAGATTCTGCTCTCTGGATGCGACGCAGAGGACGGTTCCTCCGAGGGTCCCGGCCCTCAAAGCTCAGCAGGTGACCGTTAACCCCTTAATGCCTGCATTCTTAGAGGGAACAGGTCCGTTTTTCACACTGCAGATAGAGTTGGTCTCAAATTTAGAGGGAAGGCCGATCCAAGCAGAGCCAGTTGATGACTTTTTTTTTAGAGACAAACGAATTAAATCAAACCCGTTTTTGAACAAGCATGACATCTTTATATGAGGCTTTCTTTGCAAGTTCAAAAATCATTTTCATCATTAAAGCGTTTAAATACACAAAGGTTAATATATGAAAATACAGTTTTCTAATAAAATACGGTTTCTGTTTAAAAGAAGAGAAAAATTTCCATGATCTATTTAAAATAAATCAGTTAGTAATCCTGTTTACTTGCTCAAATTAATCGGTGTTAGACATTAAATCTCCAGCTTTCACAGACCCAGCCATGTGCCGTAATAGCTTTAATTCATTTGTAGGATTGTGTTATTAGATTTAATTTTTGCATATAATTCTCATTTTCTCCATTTAAACTTTAAATCTTCACCCAGTAGCAGCTATTCAAAATGATCCAAGTCAAACGCCAACTGAACGGCAGCCCACTTCCCTGCCACTCCCAGCATAATCCCCCAAACTTCCACTCACTGGTCTCTGACTCCGCCCCCTCACTGAATTACAGGCTCTGACCAGGAGATGGCGCTTCTCTTTAGACGTTAATGTCCACAAATCATGACAGAAAGAATATTTTTAGTGATGCACGATATTGGGATTTTCGCCGATATCCGATATTTTAAAACTCATGTAGCCGATAACCGATATCGATATCGATGTTAAAGCTGGACAAAAATAAGTAGTCATTGAAAATAGCAGCGTTGTTATCCATTTCTGACACTTTGAAAAATAATAAACTCAAATATATTTTCATATGCTGATATCAAAGTGATTTTTAAAAACGCGGTATCGATCTATTTTACTTTCAAAATCTCGTGAGATTTCATCGTTCTGTTACAAACTCTCGTGATATTTTGCAAATTCTTGTGAGATTTTGTTAGTAAAATAGATCGATACCGCGTCAATATATCAACATATAAAAATATGGAAAAATTTGGTGAATTTTCGGGGGATTTCGTAGCATAACGATGACATATAGCAATATTTCATTAGTAAAAGAGATTGATATGGTGTTTTTAAATGGCAATAAATCAGCATATGAAGATATTGGGATATTTTAATGTATCAATATTTTTTTCCCTCGTCTTTAGAAGTTTTTAAGTCTGTAAAAAAGAAGTTTTTAGGAAGAAAAAGTAGTATTTATTGGTTTTGTTTTTTAGACTTTAGAAACTCAGAAGCTGATCCAATATCGGGTTAAATATCGGTGGGGTGGCCGATGTCCGATATTCAGTTTTAAGGCCGATACCGATAGGGGGCCGATTATATCGTGCATCCCTAAATATTTTAATACAAAGATTGATGTTTAAAAAGGAATTGAAGGGGCCCCGCCAAATTTTAAACGGCTCCTACTGTAATCTCCAACCTCCTTCCTAAATGACCAAGAGATGCTAAAAAGCTTCAAAAATCAAATTATTCGGGGGGTTTTTCCCCCCAAAGTTTCTTCTAGATCAGTTGGAAAGATGTAAATCGCCATGTTTTTTATTCTACATTCTAAGTTAATAAGCTAAACATCTTGGTCACTGGAACCAGCGGGTCATACCAGCACGTCGTGGCAGATCTCTTGGAGCTCCCCCTCGATCTTCACGCGATAGTCCCGGGCCATCTGCTGTTTCTTCTCGTTGCCCTCCGTCTTCTGCTCGATGCTGGAAATGACGCGCCAGGATGAGCGGCGGGCCCCCACCTGAGAGCACAAAAAAGAATAACTTTATAAAATGGAAACTTCTAGATGTTTTTCTGCAAAATAAAGCAGAACTTTGTACTTTAAAAGCACAAAATGATTTAAATCTCCAACACTGAGTGACTAAAGCTGACGGAGCAGCTGGGGGCCAATCAGGACACTGGGATTAAGGACAAGCTTTGCTCCTCCACCAGTAGGTGGCAGTAGTTCAACTAAACCACCAGTCAGCCCTTTAGTTTTGTACGAAAACGAGCAGCGTGTATCCCTTTAGTCATGTACAGAAAAACTATTGAATTACTTGTGTTTTTGAAGCGTATGGCGATCTGACTAAAGGGATACACGCCCACTGGGACTGACTGAATAGTTGGTTTGTTACCACGGAGCTCAGTTCTTATTGGAGACTATTAGAGGAAAACGGTCAACCAAATCCCCCCCCCTGAAAGCGACCACTCGCTGTTTATTTCAGACTTGCTGATTAAACTAGGGGGCCACCATGCAGCAAAACAGAGCAAGAACTGCCATGATGGAAACGGGTGTGGTTCATGTGAGCAGAGCTAATGACTCATAAGAAGACAGAACAACCCTGCTTCCATCTCTGATTAACTTCAGAGGAGGAACGCCTCAATAAAAACATCCTGGACTTCCACTGTGGAAGGAGCTGCTGTCTGGAGCTGCAGCGGCTGAGAAGCTTGTCGCCGTACCACGTTCTTATAGGCGACAGAGAGCAGGTTGCGCTCCTCGTTGCTGAGCTCCTGGCCCTGCTCCGTCACAGCCTTCATGGCAGCCGCCATGTCGTCGTAGCGCTCGGCCTGCTCTGCCAGCTTGGCTTTTTGCACCAGGTCGTTCTTATCCATCTTTTAGGCTGCAAAACAAAAGCACAGAACACAGAAATGTTCGATTAAACAAAAAGAATTTCAGAAAGAAAAATAAAAAATCTTCATAGAAAAAAGAGAAAAAATATATATACATATAGACAAACATCACAGAAGAAATCTTGAGGCTCCAAACCCAAGTAGGGAGGAGAAGATCTGCTCTGCCCAACAACTGGCTTTATTATTCGGATAAAAACCTCAACGTGAGACAAACATGGTATCTTCCTTCATCCCTTCAACCGTCATGAAGGTTCTGACCAGGATAACTCCTCTGCTGCTGGAGTATTCCATTTACAGTCATTTAACTGTAAGGTCTGCAGTTCTTCTGCTGTTTACAGCTGGTTTTAGATGGTTTGGTTTCCATGGCTACTGGTTAAACATCAGGAACAGGAGGAGGCGGTAAACTCCTTCACAGCGCGCTCTAAGCTTCTCAGCATGTTTCTGCAGTCACACTAAGGCGACTAAATGGAGATCAATATGCTGGAAAAGATTCTCAGTCATCCAGGTCATGGAGTTTCCAAAAAAGAAAACAAATAATCAACTAGACTTTTTTTCCAAGTTAGAAGACGTTTGCTTCCCATCCATTCAATGCAAAATGTCAGAAATAACCTCAAACTCAACGTTATTCCTGACATTGAAAAAGCATCCTGAATTTGAAGCAAAATGTCTCCAGACTTGGAAACAGAGTCTAGTGGATTGTTGCTTTCTTATACTTTCTTGGAATAAAGGGAGATCAATGCGGTGTGCTGTAAATCATCGGATCAAAATGGCCGTCAAGTTTTGTGTCAAAATGTGCAGACATTAATCACCCCACCAGGTGGCGTTTCGCAGATCAATCATTCCATTTTTCCCATCTGCAATCTGTACAGTTTGGTTTTCGGAGTCAAGTTGTTCTGTTAACAAAATGCGAACAGGTCCTAAAATAAGATAAAAGTAACAAAACAGACGTCAGGACTGTCAAAACTACTGAATCTAACTTATCAGATTTGTGCTTTTAGCCGCTGCTAAATAAAAATAAAACCCATGCCAATAAGGTGCAGGGTTGGAACAGATGTTTGGTTTAATGCCAAGCTACCGTGTGAGAAAGTTTACTGCTCTAAAATGATCGTAATGTCAGGAACAAAGGACTGGAATGCCTGCTGGTTTTCACCTCCAGCTTCCTGGAATAACAGGTCAGTCCAGACCCACTTTCTCTGAATGTCGGGGATATTTGATAAGGAATGGGGCGAAGGCGTGCCTTATATCACCGGGCCTGAAACAATCAGATGGATTATTATATTAACCAATCATTGAAATTATTCTACACTATTTTAGTCAGTGGAATCAAAGCATTAGATGAAGTTTACTGACTTTAAACTGGACAAATAGACATTTATATTCAGGATAAAAAAAAAAAAAAAACTTTGTCCATCAATTTTATTTTTGAATGACTAATTTTTTATTCATCATTTTATTAAATAAATTAACATCGAATTCTCATAATTTGCTCAAAATAACACAAATTTAAACTGAGCTCTAAATATCTGTAAAGAGAAGAACTTTGGTTTATTACGGGACTTTAAATTTTCATTTTAGATTAGAAAAATGTTTATTATCAATATTCATTAACTGCAGCCTGGCGTTTATCCAATCATTATATTAGCTGCGGTCTCCCAAGTGGTTTAATTGAGCAAGATGCTACTTTAAGCTCAATATAACAAACAAGGCTCATACAATTCTATTCAGTTTATTTCTATAGCACCAATTCACAACACGTCATCTCAAGGTGCTTTCCAGTTCACCAGATCATCCAGAAACATTGATTCATAGTTTTCTATCTAAGGAAAACCAGTTGATTGCATCGACTCATTGACTGGAAGGAAATCCCTCACACTAAGCATGCTTGTAGCGACAGTGGAGAGGAAAAACTCCCTTTTAACAGGGAGCAGAACCAGGCTAAGAGTGAGCGGCCATCTGCTGAGGCCGACTGGGCAAACAGGAATAAGTTACTCCAATTTAATGCTTTTTAACGCTCATTTAATGCTCTTGGAAATAATTTTAATGCCATTAAGCAGTACTCATAACTCTCCCTCATATATCTAAATATAACACGGCCAAATCCTATGTCATCGACTGGCCGCAGCCATGTCCCGACTTCCTCGTTTTCCATCCACTTTGGTTGAAAGTTGCATTTTCCCCCCAATTTCTAGCCTTTTCTCCACCTCGAGCTTCTTTTCCGAATATACAGCTTTACGATCAACCGGAAGCAGTTGCGTGCAAATATGCAGAACCAGTTATATCCGATATAAAATATCTGACGAAAGTGTTTTTAATAAAGCATTTTAAATGCCACCATAATCACATTTATTTAATCTTAATTCCAATTGGCCTCAAGAAAAAAAAAAAATAATAATTTTTAATCACGTGGAAACCCTGATAAATTTTAGCACAAAATGAAGTTACATTAGTAATGATCTTGTGGCACATCACTTGAAAGCACCTACATTTTTTTCTCCAAATCAAAGTATTGTTAAAAACATTTTTTAAATCTGATCAATAGGTATATATTTCCAGCTCATCAATCAACCTGAACAGTTTGTACTTCCTGCCTAAATGACCTTGATCATTTTGTTATCAATATCAATTAGGGCTGCAACAACGAATCGATAAAATCGATAAAAATCGACTTTTAAAAGCGTTGGCAACGAATTTCATCATCGATGAGTTGTGTCGCGCGATTATTGCGTCATCCGCCGCGCCGTCATCACTGCCTCTTGACTGAAAGAGGAAGAAAAAAAAATACGGCAGAGCGAGCCAGCGCCGCAGCTGCAGTGTTGCCAACTCAGCGACTTTTCAGACCCCTCCAGCCACTATTTTTCAAAAAAGCGACTAGCGACAAATCTGGCGACTTTTTTCGGTGTCACTGGCGGCTTTTGGAGACTCTTACGTGAAAGCATGTATCGTTCCTACTCTGCCGTGGGGCGCCTCCCCCCGCTCCCGCAGGAGTCCCTCTCAGCTGCAGTCGGAGCCTCAGCGTCCAGACTGCAAATGAAGCGCACATGCACCGGGATTGACGGCGCAAATTGATCACAATAATTAAAATAGCCTGCGCTTTGTAAAGCGAAAAAAGTGATAACATGCAACTTTTTTCAAAAGAAATTAACATGGCACGGAACCACCATGTTTGTTTGGTTTTAAAGTGGGGAAACGTAACGTTCGTTTCTCAGGTTGCTCATCTGATGCTTTCCTTACCGTGTTAGTAGGTTACAGACAGTGATAAGGTTGGCTACTTATTTTACTTTTAATTTCATTTGAATTAGCTTAAGCAGCGTTTACATTTACTTTATAAATAAATTAACTTGCAAATTATGAGGGCAAGGCTTTTAAAGTTTAAATCTTCTGGCGAAGATAAAGTAAAGAAGATCCTGCAATTTATGGAAGTAAAGCAGAATAAAACCCAGCAAGATCAGTAATATGTCAATTAATTATCTGCCACATTCCCATGTAAATATCTGTCTTTGGAGGATGTGTTTTTTAGCACCCCTAGTTCTCTCATTTTTATTCCAAATACAATTTATAATTTGAATCACAGGGCTATTTTTATCTCTATGGTTAAGTATTTTCTCAAGTAGCAACTTTAACTGCTATACTTTCCTGTCTTAAAAGGCAGAACTCTTCTAGTCTAAAAAAAACTCATTTGTTGAAATGGGGGGGGGCTATTGTTTGAACCCCTTAGGGGCTTTTAAAACAAAAATGTCTTTTTTTTTGCGCTTTATGAAACAAAGTAGCCTATATTTTGTGGATGTACAGCTACATTTCTCATGTAAGTTTGCGTAGTTTTAACACAAACATTTATTTTTCATATTGCACCAGTACAGTTAATGAGCAACCTGTACTTGTGTGCTTGTTTGTTCTGTCTAAAATGTTTATTTTGGAATAAAGAGGTTAATATAAAAAATATTTTTTGTCCGATTCATCGATTAATCGAAAAAATAATCGTCCGATTCATCGATTCTTAAAATAATCGTTAGTTGCAGCCCTAATATCAATATCAATAAAGTTTTCTGGCAGCTCCAGCAGACGTCCTGGCGGAGCATCTTTACCCGTCAGTAACTAATGACTGTCGCCCACTTTTCCATGTAGAAGTTATTACCAGCCCTGAAGCAGGGAGACACGCTGGGAGCTGAACCAAGAGTAAAAAGTACAAATCAATCACCTGCTCATATCGAGTGGCATCCCATTAGTTTCCAAAAGACAGAACTAAAACCAGCAGACACTAAAAGTACAAATTAAAAAAACTAATTCTGCTCATCAGTGGCAGATTACTGCCTGCATGGAGCTTTAATAACATTCCTGACAGGATGTGACATCACAGATCTGTGTATCTATACTAAAAGACTATCACACATTGCTATTGTCCTCCTTCAATAACAAAAAGGCTGTTAAAACTTTATATTTATGCTCTAAATTCAAAGTATTTATAAAATAAAATCCCTTTACATGCTTCTATGTGTAGCTTTACTCAATCACTATTCTTTACTTTTACTCAGTTGTTTTTTTATCTATTATTTTGTTGAAACTGATTGTTCACTGGAAATTGCACTTATTTCTTTCTATAATGTACATAGATACATTATAAAAGAAAAACATGACCCAAAACTCAAATCTGCTTCTAGTGAGGAATCCTGTCAGTTTAATAACAACTAATGTCTAAAAGAGATCAAAAGAACCTTAATTTAATCTTTTAAAAATAAATCAGCCTGAAATAACGATGAAGAACAAACATGGTTGCTCTGTTTATTGTTAGAATCTATATTAGGTGTGATATTTCTGACCAAATGAGACTGATTGAGATTAAAGCCCATTAAAAAGCAGGTAGTGATGATGATGACATGGTTTTTCACCTTCCTGCTAAAATTAGCTTAGCTTAAATCAGAGCTCGTGCCTCTGGTCCCGGTTCTGTTTGAAACAGACGGCCTTAGACGCGCGCGGATCGAACCGCATCGATCCAACCGGCTCCGGTCATCCCCCCACCCCCCAGCACGTGCCAGGCGGTTATCCAACCACCGGGCTTAAACAACTTTAGACCGATAAAAATGAAGAGAAACCCCGATAAGGCAGCTTCTCCAAGCGGAGGAGCGGCCATAGAGGGCCTAACAGCCAGGGTGTGGGGGGCGGCCCGCTCCCCCGGCTGACTCGGCGTGCTAACAGCTACGCCCTCCTTGTCGCATTCCCCTGCGGAATTTTAAGATGGAGAGATAGATTAGCGCCTGTTAGCTTAGCTTCTAGCAGTGGGAGCAGCTGACCGAGCGCAGCGCGAAGGCCCACTTCCCCCATCTTTGGCCAATTTAGCGATTCTTCGAGATTCATTTGAGTTTGTAGTTCCATAAACTGTGTATTTGGGTCGCATATGAAGTGGGAACTCCCGGGGAACATGGAGGGTGTGTTAGCGGAGCTGCTTTCACTGCGCCATGACGGAGCTCCACATCCGCGCCCAGTCACTCCTCCCTAAATCCAGCGGTTTGGGACCGAGGCTTCTTTAGATGGCTGGAGCTGAACGCATCCAGTAGAAAAAGCGGCCTCCTCAGCATCGGCTGCTAAACGGTCCGGGCTGCAGAGTGGCCGCGGCTCGGCCGCTGCTAAGCTGTCAAAATGGCCAGAGCCAGCTTCTCCCTCCTCCCCACACGGTGAGCGGCTCGCATTGAACCGGGCCTGTGCTTCAGGCTTCAACCATTACGATTATAGGCGCCTCCCGGCAGCACCTGATAACGTTTTCAATGCTTTTTTTCGGACATTTCTCATTTTCTGCTCATATTCTCTGGCCTAAATTCCCGCACCCAGCCCCAAACCACAATAGGCATCTTCCGCCGCAGAGGCAGACCGCGGGACCCCCGGTTCGACTGCCGCTTCACCGTCAAAACTCTGCTCGACCCGAACATCAGACATCGATGGATGAAAACATCTGCGGACTCACATTTAGAGCGAATCAAGGATCCGGATTTTCTTCTCTTAACGATGGGAGTATCTCAAGCCGTCCTCCGCTCGCTGCTCGGGATATTCAGGGCAGTACCACTTCCGCCTGCTCTGACACTTCCGCTTCCTCTAAACCCCACCCCTCCCCCCGCCAGTATCCGTGGCAACGGCGCCAGGGGGTTTCCTTGCCATAGTGCAAGGGGCTTTGACGTCAGGAGGTCCATGGCAACCGTTACAGGATGACGTCCACCAGTCTCCGTGGCAACCGTTACCATGAGACCGTTGCTGTCTATCAGCATCATGTACACTGATGTGGACGTGTGGGTTTATATTTATATATATATATATGTATATATATACGAACACACATACATATATATAGTTAAAAAAATGAAGTTATTTTTTTGTTTGTTTTAAAATTTCACTTTGCTGCTGTGCACGAAATTTCTACAAAAAATGATGTTCTTGTCTTCTATTCTAATAGATAGATAGATAGATAGATAGATAGATAGATAGATAGATAGATAGATAGATAGATAGATAGATAGATAGATAGATAGATAGATAGGAATAATTTATGTAGAAAAATATAAATGTTTATAGTATAGTGGTGTGTCAGCTGTGTTTAAGATCTACTGTGCTGTCCCTGGGTTTAGATAGATAGATAGATAGATAGATAGATAGATAGATAGATAGATAGATAGATAGATAGATAGATAGATAGATAGATAGATAGATAGATAGATAGATAGATAGATGGCTAGTTTTTATATACATTATTGTAGAAAGGGAATTTTCTTTATTAAATGTAAAGAAAAGTATATGATATTTTTCTAAACCAACACTCTTTTCACATTATTATCCTTCACATTGTTTAGAGGCCAGGTATACTTCCAGAAATATACTGAAAGTAACATTTAGCTACAATATGAATACAGTATATGAAACAAACATCTGGGTTAAATGGATATTGCACTGTTGCTATTACCATTTTAATATTAGCGCTCCTTGCTATCACAATGCTAACATTAGCTCACCTTGCTATCACCATGCTAACATTTGTCACCTTGCTGTTACCGTGCAAACATTAGCTGGCCTTGCTATTACCATGCTAACATTAGCCCACTTTGCTGTCATCATGCTAACATTAGTTTACCTTGCTATCACCATGCTAACATTTGTCACCTTGCTGTTACCATGCTAACATTTGTCACCTTGCTGTTACCATGCAAACATTAGCTGGCATTGCTATTACCATGCTACGTTAGCTCATTTTGCTATCACCATGCTAACATTAGCTCACCTTGCTATCATTATGCTAACATTAGCTCACCTTGCTATCACCATGCTAACATTTGTGACCTCACTGTTACCATTCAAACATTAGCTGGCCTTGCTATTACCATGCTAACATTAGCTCACCTTGCTATTACCATGCTAACATTAGCTCACTTTGCTATCACCATCCTAACATTAGCTCACTTTGCTATTACCATGCTAACATTAGCTGGCCTTGCTATTACACTGAGCTTTTGCCTTTAAACAAAGTTTTTACTAAACTGATGTCGTATATGCTGATGTAGTTAAAAGCAACTTACTATTTTTAGTGCGATATAAGGAAAAGAAGATAAACCTTCCATTGGATGCATTGCTTTGATGGTCATCCAGCTACAAGATCATCAAGCATCTGGCACGCTTAATCCCAAGTGGGGTCACGAGTGGTCAGGCGCCTATCTCCAGCTGTCTACGGACGAGAGGTGTGGTCCACCCTGGACAGGTTGCCAGTCCATCGCAGGGGAACACAGAAACAAACGACCATTCACGCACACACTCACACCTAAGGAGAATTTAGGGAAGCCAATCAACCTAACGGTCAATTTTTTTTGGACTGTGGGAGGAAGCCAGAGTACCCAGAGAGAACCCACGCATACTCAGGGAGAACTTGCAAACTTCATGCAGAAAGATGCCGGGCCAGTAACCTCACTCAGAACCTTCTTGCTGCAAGGCAGCAGTGCTACCCACTGCGCCACTCAGCAGCCCATCAAGCTGTGTATGCCAAACATAATGGCATTATTTCACATAAACTCTTCAAGTTTATTAATATTAAACTCTATATCTGTCTATAAATCCAGATGAAGCTAACCGATTACATAGATTACAGCCATGTCTTGAAGACATAAAAACCTGGATGACTCTTCACCTTCTGCTCCTAAACGTAGACAAAACAGAAGTTATTGTCTTTCAAAAGGTTTGTAGAATTTCCTTCTTTCATCTGCGTAATATTGCAAAAATTAGAAATGTTCTGTCCAGGGTTGATGTTGAGAAACAAGTCCATGCATTTGTTACTTCAAGGCTGGACTAGTTTAATCCTTAGAGATCCTTAGATCTCTAGAGGAGAAGCCAGGATAGGAGAGATCCTATCTCTCCTATCCTGGCTTCTCTTCTTTGGCTTACTGTTAAATTGAGAATAGAATTTAAAATCCTCCTTCTCACATATAAAGCCTTAAATGGCCAAGCTCCATCTGATATCAGAGATCTGATTGTTCCCTATGTTCCTAACAGAGCACTTCGCTCTCAATCTGCAGGTTTATTAGTGGTTCCTAGAATTTCTAAAAGTAGAATGGGAGGCAGATCTTTTAGTTATCAGGCTCCTCTCCTGTGGAACCAACTACCAGTTTTAGTCCGTGAGGCAGACACCCTGTCTACTTTTAAGGCTAGGCTTAAAACTTTCCTTTTTGATAAAGCTTCTAGTTAGAGTGGCTCAGGTTATCCTGAGCTATCTCTATAGTTCTGCTGCTATAGGCTTAGACTGCTGGAGGACATAGGGACCCCTTTTTCATCATTCTGCTTCATTCTATCTCTATTCTCCTATTCGGCATAATCTGTTAGTTCAATCTCTAACGTTCTGCTCTCTCTGTTTTTTCTCATAGTATGGTTGCTTTGCCTCATCTGTTCCGGTTTTGCTGTGTCTTCATCCTGGACAGAAATATAAGCTGTGCTGCTGCCATCAACACCTTTGTTTATAGATGTTAGAGATCGGCCTGTTTTTCAGTGTAGTCCTGTTTCTCTGACTGTGACTGACTGGATGTGCTCTCTTCATCCTCTTACATAGGAGATGGCTCAGAGCACGTCTGCCTGGCTGTGTGTTTCCTGGATGGGGCCGCCTTTTACAGCTGCTTTTTGCATCTCTGCTTCTGTCTCCTTGAACCCCAGTGGGCCTCAGCAGATGGCCGCTCACACTGAGCCTGGTTCTGCTGGAGGTTTCTTCTTGTTAAAAGGAAGTTTTTCCTCTCCACTGTTGCTACAAGCATGCTTAGTGTGAGGGATTGTATTTGAGTCAATGAGTCGATGCAATCAGCTGGTTTTCCTTAGATAGAAAACTTTGAATCAATTTGACTGGATGATCTGGTTGAACTGTAAAGTGAGATGACATGTGTTGTAAATTGGCGCTATATAATTTAACTGAATTGAATATTCAGTAAAACTAGTATATATAAGGATGTTACGGGATTATCCTTTCGTGACAGCCCCTCCATCCTCCTGCAGCATCCGAGAGTCGCAGGCCCTAGCAGCTCCACTTTAGTTTTGTTTGTTTTCTTTTAACAAACCTTTTGAACTTTCCTACTGACTGTCTTAAAAAATCATCGACTTAATCCTAATCCTAACCCTAAAGTAATTCCTGAATCAATTAATGTAATGTAATGTAATGAATCTATATATGTGTAAACTAAAAAATTATTTCAGTCGTTCTTCATACTGTAAATATTGCTGTAATTACTCTGTCATAATAATAATGGCCACTAGCTAGTTCAAGTCGTAAGTCACCTGTCCTACGAACAGGAAGCCTGGGTTCGCATCGCAATTGGGCCAGTGTGGGCCCTTGGGCAAGACCCTTCATGCTAATGCCTGCTTTGGGGAGTGGTGTCCTAGTGGTTAAGACATTGAGTTCACTTTGGGTCCCTGAACAAGACCCCAAACCCCCACACTGCTCCCCGGCTACTCCACGATGGCACCCCATTGCGCTCCCCAAGGGGATGGGTTAAATACAGAGGTTAGCGGTTGGCTAGCTTAAGCCGTAAGTCACCCTTAATTCAAACAGGAAGCCGGGGCTTGTATCCCAGCTGGGGAGAACATAATGCCAGTGTGGGTCCTTAGGCAAGTCCCTAAGTGGCATGGCTGCCTTAGGGTATTGCGCTTCCAGACTGCCACTCTGGGTACCTGAGCAAGACCCCAAACCCCCACACTGCTCCCTGGGTTCCCCACGATGGCAGCCCACTGCTCCCCAAGGGAATGGGTTAAATTTCCTTGCTCTGTACTTTTGACAGTGTAATGACAATAAAATGAAAATGACAATAAAAAATATTAAACAAACCAAAAACAAGTCATCTCCTGCCCTGTCAACTGAGTTGTAGCATCTTCTCCCTATAGATATTTAATCGTCTGTGAAAAAGTGCCATCATTCTTTAATAAGATCCTCTACATTCAATGTTTGTTTTTAAAACCTGATGTTTCTAACAGACCTTTGTTTTGTTTTTTTAAAGCACAAAACTATGAGAAAATCTGACTAAATCAGGAAATGAAACAGTGTGATTGGCTGTGAGAAGAGCGGAGGCAGAGGGCACTCTGAGTTTACTGAAGAAAACCTGCTACCGACCAGGTTAGCTGTGGAGTATGTTACTCCGGCGACTGAAACTGAGGAAACTCAGCTTTTCCCTTTTTTCAAGTTTAGACAACTTAGAGTTTTGGTAAATTAGAGGCATTACAGCTGCAAATTTAATTGAAAAAGGAGCTGAAACAACAAAAATTTAACCTGTAAATTTAAAATAAAAAATACAGACTGTCTGCATCTGGGAATCTGCTCTATCATCGTCTCTGGCCTCCTGTTGCTACCTGAGTTTTTCTATAAACTAACTGGAAAGATTCTCTTCCTGATTTTCTGTTTTGCTGAACGTATTTGTGTCGTTATCAGCATGTAGAGAAACAATGAGTCAGTTTGGAGAAAGGAAGGAGTAGAAATTCCCAAAAAGATAAAGAACAATCCACTGGACTTTGTTTCCAAGTTTGAAGACATTTCGCTTCGCATCCAGGAAGTTTTTTCTAATTCAAAATTCAGAAATAGTGTAAGTTTGAAGATATTTCGCTTCCCATCCAGGAGGCTTT